TCAATTTTAGGAAGCCCAGAGCATGTTGAAAAGGTAGTAGATTTCGTAAGTGTTGACAGGCACAGCAGATGAGAGTGCCAAAACATTCTACAACTTGACTCGGTTCGTCGATGCTTACATTGCAGATTTCATTCATTAACTATGTGTAATCTGTGTTCCTTTTCCTAAATTTTTGAAGCCATTATTATTAGTTAATGGGCATCTGACGACTTTAAAAAGACTTTTTAAAAGGTGAGTAAATTTTCTTCAGCGGAGAATTCATTTTGAAAGTTTGTCGAAGTTTATTTTAGTTCAGAATACCCCCGAATTGTTTTCCGGTTATACTAGTGTTAAAGCTTGTTATTTAAGGAACTGATATATGAAAAAAAAGTTCGCGAAAACTGGCAAATTCATTTTCTTTTTTTAATTTGTTTCGGAATATCGTGTTCAATTTCCCGCAATGCGCTTTTCAATATATGGATCAAAAGTGCTAAAGAATTAAAGTTTGATGATTTAGCTTCGTATGTTTATCAAGAATTGGGACATAGAACAATGACTAAAGTATGTTGGAGAATGTAAGAAAGAAAATTAGCAAGTTTTGTCACACTATTAGAGGGAAATGGGAAAAAATAGGAAGACATTAGGAGCGTTTTTTTTCATTACAATTCTTCGAGGCTAAATGGGGAAATTATTTTTGAATTTAATAGTGTTCCTCATACAGAAGAAACTTTAATGAAAGGACCTGGCAGGGTCTTCTTCTCAAAAATGTTATGTGTGTGGGTCAAAACCGAGTGATATGAACAATTTAAATGTCTTATCAAGGAAAAAAGTTAAAAGAGAGTTATTTTCCTTTGGTATATCACCCTTCACTCGTGAATTGCATCCTACTTATTTCTTATTGCCTCGAAATTAAAACTTGGCAAGCAAGGAGTTATGAAAATGAGGAAAAAGTTTTGAAGAAGACGTTTTTTGAGGTGGTAGTATGAATGACGATTAATCTGCACACAAATATTTTAGAAACCCCGAAAAAGATGCAGAAATAACATGTGTGAATCTAGACTTCATCAGATGTTTGTAAATCATTATTCAATGCGTAAATTGTGGGGAAAAATTACTGCACAGAAATCGGAAGAAGTCTCTAAAAAGAACGAAAACATTTACCTTCAAAACAACAGTTGGTATCCAATACCTGTGAGCGTTCACAAAATTTTATTCCATGGAAGGGAAATTATTGAAAAATGTATCTTACTTACTGTATAATAGTCAGAAGACGCCCAAGAAGCAAGAAATAAACACTCCAAGCACTACAGAGTTCTTTACAATTAAGACAACCAGAATACACACAAATACAGACCTATTAAACAGACTCCTAATTACTTTAGATCGATATGTAGCAAGTTTACGAACATCTTCAAAATTAAAAAAGAAAAGTGTAAATAAAGAAATTATGAAATTATTAGATGTTGATGTCGTGACAATGGATGTAGATGATTCTGAACACTTATCAGGTAGTAGCAATACCTTCAGTGATTCCGACTGATTTTTTTTATTCTTTTAAAAACTATTATATTCGCTTTAAAAATATTATTACTTAATATGTATCTTCTTTGTTAACTTATCTAACATTGAAGTATATAAATATAGTCTATTTGCTTGTTCATTAAAGAATTGCCTTTGTTTCAATAAAAGTATTTATGTTGCAATAAATCATGCAATTTGTTGATTGTATTCATTTTCTAATATTTAAGTAATATACAACAAGGTTTCATTCAGTTTCACTCATTATCTTAGCAATTAGAATTTCTACCAAAACATAATAAAATATTGTTTTTATTTAAAAATTTAACAGAAAAAATATTCAAGATGACGTGGAAAAATCGAAAAATGAAAACATGTTGTCTTATGATATAACATACAAACCGCTGTTTCTCGACTGTTAGAAAAAAATTAACAATTTTGCAGAAGCATTACATGTCTCCATACGCACTGCCAATGTCGATTCAGTTGTTCCTCCGTTCGTCGCTCTTATCATTTCTGCAAAATAAAACGTTCAGACTAGGGGTTGGTCAATGCGTCACGTTCTGGCGTAGAAATTTTCCCAAGCGTGAGAAATTGCATAATTTCATCTCTGCTAACGATGCGTCAGTTTAGAATAATTATTTGTTTATTTTTTAAGTTGTTCCTTACATTTTGAAACACGGTCCAGACTAACGTGTGACAATCAATTAGAATTAGCGTTTTCAAACTTAGAAAGGTGTGTAAGTAAGGATTTATTCTCCTTAACGTACCACTTGATTCATTCGGGGCTGCCCAACGGCTGTTAACGCTATTCAGTTGTTTAGTAACGTGACACATGACAGAGACTCATGTCAAAATAGTTATCGAAAAAAGTAAAATATTTGTAATTTATACATACATTACGAGTAATTCATATATTCTAAGATATTAGGACAATTAAAGTGTTAGAATAGAGAACAATACAGACTCTCCACAAAATTGAGTGAATTATCGAGATTGAGAGAATGTCGAAGAGGTTGAGAGACAGAGAACGAGAAATATGAAAAAAATCAAAGCGTTCTTGAGGAAGTATGAAAAGTGCTAGATCTGGCGGAAATGAGGTCAGGCTGCAAGAAGAACCGCCATAAACGCTCGCACAAAAGAAGGCGATAACATAAAAAGAACTTAATTTGGAAAACATGCCTCGTAACATTTCATCTTCGTGGTACAAGTTCTGTTCCAATACGTCACGGATCGCGGTTAGATTGCGACTTGCTCCTCTCCTTCTGAGGTCCAACAACAACAACACGTGATGTTTTATCACTCTGAGTTTCGGATTACGAGCGTGACTTAATCTTTCCCCATACGGCGGCTTCACGCAAACACGGCATGTTTTGAAATCGGCGTAGACGCAACACAGTTCACGTTTATGCCAATAAAAGTGTTCTGGTTTATAAACATAACAAATTGACAAAACCTATTCTTCGTCATCAATGTCCGTTTGTTTAAACATTTATCTAGGTCGTTTAAAATGCTTACGATAGTAAATAAATGTTTTATTACACTTGAGTTAATTGCTTAGTTCACTACAGAACGTTAATGGAAAACATCTTGTTAGAAGTAAATTTACAAGAATTTGCAACAATTGTGATTTTTGTTGCTAACCAATATTATTTAGGTATTATATTTAAAGTATTCTAATACAGAAGAAATCGGCGATTTGTCGAAGGAACAACTCATGTGGTGGGGCCCTGGTAACGAAAAGTGGATAAATCTTGTTCCTATGTAGAAATTGAGGCGATCAGGATAATAAATGCAGATTCGAACCGACCTCACATTTTCTGTTAGAAGTACGTAAACTCCTACCCTATTCATATCATATGCTCAAATATCAAATGAACGGGGATAAAATCAAATTCAACCTTAAAAAATTCGCCCGTAGTGTGAACGGAAAAATATGTGTTTTTTTCTCAAAACCAACTTCGGTTGGGATCTTCTGTTCTTATTATAAGCATCCCAATTACAATGTTTGCATGTAGATATCATAAATTGGCAGCCATGGCAATGTCTTCCAATTATGTTTTTATAACTTGGTGCACTGTATGCCACCGTTGGCAAATACGTTCACTTTTGTAGGAGCTTCAAAATGTACTCTGTCTAATGAGATATGTTTTAAATAACTTCAAAAAAGTACTTTTCTCTGAGTGGGTTAAAAATACAGATATTTGGACGTTTTTCCAAAAAACGTAAACTTTAAACTTAATTTGTGAAATAATGGTAAGAAATAGATGACTGTTGGTTGTCGAATAACGCAAATAACAATTTAAAAATCGCATAAATCATAATGAATATTCGTTCCGAAGAGCATATTATTTGTTCATTACAAATCGTTTACATTGTATTGCATATTGTATGAATTGTATGTCAACTGTATTTACATATGGACTATATTTTATCAAAATATAAAAAGTAACCATCTAGTAATCAGATTAAAATCCATCTGTTTCGGCAATTCTGAAAGGAAAGTGCATGAGAGCTAATGGGGACAATCATTTTTTGAGTATGTTGCCACAAAAAATGTCGGAATACACGTGTCCCTTACTACAGTGATTCTGGAAAACTACTTTCATGACACAGGTTTCTAAACACGCAATCACAATATTAGCTTTTCCGCAGGAATCAAATTTCCTACCGTTGGTAGTCACGAACAAGCGGGAAGTACGCGATATATTGAGCTCACAAAGATACTTCTTGTTGTATTTGCTGAGATTTAAAAACATTAACCAAAGCAAATAAAAATACCCTACATTCGTTAAGTGTAAGCATTGTGCGTCGTCATGTGCATTGCGGAGTAAACTCTCTATCAACATCCAAACAAAACAAATAATCAAACAACAAATAAATAAATGAGGCTTACTCTAGTTAAAATCCAATAGTAATCTAAAGATAGAAAATCTCGCCGATCTACTACTAAACGACAATTTTTAAGATGTGTCATTTTTCTCGTGTTCCGATGATTTAGGGTCGTAAAAAGTAAACAGGAGAACATCCCAGCATGCAACTGCTGACAAGGGAAACTGAATAAAAATAAATTGATTGATAAGTGTTAACTAGTAAATAGAGAAATTTATTTAAATGTACAGAAAAAGTTGCTCAATGCGGAATCTCAAGGGACCAATATTTGTTTCCTATTTAACAAGATTTCGCATTATGCAATATAATACTGTAGAATGTATATGTGGCTGAGCCACGCTTTATGTTCCAATTACATACGTTCCACGGTGAGCAACGTATTAGTGTCTTTGATCCTTTTTAACCCGCGTCGTCCGCCATTGCGTGTTCGCAGTACCCATCATTCCGGAGTTCCTGTACGACATCCGCCACCCGAATGAGTCCAAGCTCAGCACGTACCTGCGGGGCGGCGACAGCACCACCACCACCACCGTCACCCCGGAGCCCGGCGCGCTGGCGGACGTGACCATCTCGCCCGAGCCCACGGGCGTCACCGAGGCCGACAACGTCACCACCACGCTCTCCCCCGAGGAGGCGGCCAACCGCCGCCGCCACCAGGACCTCATCGAGGAGACCGTCGCCGTCGGCATGATGTTCGCGTCCAAGGCCTTCGTGCAGCTGCTCGCCAACCCCATCGTCGGGCCGCTCACGCACAAGTAGGCTCCGCTTCACTACACTCACGCGTTCGCCTTTGATTCAGGCTCGTCATCTTGCACTTGTGTTCAAATGATTCCCATCATCTGGGACAAGTGTTCAAATGACACCCATCATCTGCCACTCGTGTTCAAATGATTCCCATCATCTGGCACTCATGTTCAAATGATTCCCATCATCTGCCACTCGTGTTCAAATGATACTATTATTTTGCATTTCCGTTTTTGCCTACAATTTTGGTTTGAACACCAAATTTTCTAAACAAGTATTTCTGAATGAACCTCACCAAATATCCCCGTTCTATTGAAACAGATCATCATATTTAGATCACATTTTTGTGCAACTCTCAATTTGAGGTGTCAGAAGGTGCATTTATTTATGAGAACTACAAAAGTATTCCGCGGCTTACGATCGAATTTGTCACATGTCCAACTGCATTGTACTCACACTAAAGTACGATGAAATAATAAAGCCTTCCGACTGCTTTCGTGTGTTTCCACATCCATCCAACAACTGTCTTATTTATTCTCTTCCACCATCCACGTTGCATGGAGTTATGAGTATATATATATATATATATATATATATATATATATATATATATATATATATATATATATCCCGGCTGGGCGGTGTCCCGCTACGGGAGATCTCGCTATGCAGCTGAGAGGCCACCTTCCGCGATAAAAAACAACAACATTCGCTCACCAATGAGGCTAATGGCCATTGCAGTTGACCTATCCAGACACAGCCGTAAATTACGAGTGAAGGAATATTTTCATTTCCCCGGTATAAATGTATATCAACATCAATATCATCGAACACGTCACAATTCATTTTGGAATACACTTAAAATATTTTTAAAAAAGAACTGTGATAACACTTGAGAATTATACATGCCTACGTCATCTACTTCGTCATATTCTTTAGAGACATTCAGCGTGTTGAATATAGATTTGTACCTATCAGAGTCTGTAATGCATGGATTTGGATAAAATTAATTACAGAGAATTTCATTGACTTCCGCCGGTGTGAACTTCTCCTTGAAACTTACGAGTAGATAGCGTGCACACGTAACATATCCTGCCCAATCATTTGCAATTCCTGATGATTGCGCAAGACTCATTGGATCGACCAAGATGACGTTTTATCAGTCTTTTTAGGAAACGAAACGGTAAAAAGACACCCTGCAAGTTCTTCAGGAATAATGCGCGTGCTAGATCTTCGTGTAACTGAGCGACAATTGCATTACCGGAAAGCACAGGAACATTCAAACTCGCTTTGGACGCTAGAGAATCACACTAATTAGTAAGCTGCGAATTTATAGACACTAGAAACAGTAGAAATAGGACGACAAAACAGGCATTTAAAAAGACACTACATTTTTTCTGGTTTTCTGGTTTTCATCTACTCTGATTCGTATTTGAGTACTTCTGTTGAAAGTTTCTTAAGAAAACATAATCAAGTTTCCTTCCCAGAATGTTTACTCTCATCATTGTTCTGTTCAAATACTCATATAAATCTTTGTTTCATTATTGGACAATTGGGACAATAAGGGGTAAATTGCAATACCTTATACGTTCTTGCTTTTCATTAAATACATGCTGGTATTCTATTGCTGGAGAGTAATTTTTTTCTCACTTTTGACTTAAATATAATCGAAAATATAGAATCATGTGTTTTAACCACCTTGCATAACACAAATGCTGGCGCTACAACACGTACATTTTCGCATTATTTCTAAATTTGCCATTTTCAATAATTTAGAGTTCAACGAAAATGAGAACTGTGCAGTTCTTGTAAGGTTCGCTTGTTCTCTCAGTGGAAAAAAAACACTGAAGAAAACATTTGGAGCAGTTTGGGAGAAAAAGTTTTTTTAAAGTAAATTACATTAATGCAAGTAAAATTTCGCAAATATAGAGAGTTCGCAGAAAATTACACCATTTCTGTACCACCTTTTGATAAATACGAGAATAAAATTGAAAGAAAAAATTTAAGCTGTTTTTCAGAAAGTAATTGTTTAACAACTGTCTTTATTTCGCTCAAAATTAAGCGAAAACTTATATTTTTGAAAACTTAAACATGTTATTTCGAGATTTGTATTTAAAGAACAGATTTTATTCAGGAAAAAATCTCTATCATCAATATAGTAGTTGTAGGAAGACACTGACACTTTTTTGAAGATTTGTCATTGTCTAAAAATCAGAGATTTCAACGAAAATGCACAATTTTTTAAGTGTCCTTTACGCAAACCGAAGACAAAGTTTAATCCAAAAAACGTGGGGTCATTTTTGACAAAATAATGAAATTGTTGTTGAGGCATGTAAAGTGCACCAAAAAATTAAAATGATATTCGTTTCAAACTCAGAAGGTCTTGAGTTCCTGTAAATTGATCGAGAATATCAATTTTGGAGGAAATCGACTGAACGGTTTTTGCGGTAGCTTTGACCTCAGACAGATGGACAAATATTTTGCCGTCAATCGATATTTCGGTATCAAGGACCTACACAACATTGATTTCGACTATACTATGTGTCAGAGGAAGTAATCTGTTATAGGAACACGAATTATCCCCTTTTTCGTTACCTGGACCCGGCAATAAGAGTTGTTCTTTCGAAAAATTGCCGTTTTCCGGCGTATGATTGCAATACTGTCTGAATGTGAAATATTGTATTACCTGAAAGATGGTAACGTATTTTACAGTTTCCTTGGCACACAAACATTTCATATTCAAAGATAGTTTCCTTAATGGAAACATTTCCGTAGAAAATTTTCACATTTATGAAAACTGAATAATATTGGTTTCATCTAACAATAGTAAACTTGACGAATTTTGCAGTGATGATTTTGGATTGCATTAATCGAATTGGATTAATTATTTAAAGATTTTTTTTCGCGTCGTACAGTAAGAATATTGATAATGTCATTTCAAACGAAATTACTCTGAGAGAGAGCGCATGATTTGGACACACAGACAGGTGATTGTAATTTTCAAATTGGTTAATCAAGATGTTGTGACGTAGGTCATTAATGTTTGTAATGAGGACACATATAATCTTAACGAAAGTGAAACGTTTCTCGTCACATGTTTTCATTTTACGAATGCAATTTAGAGATTCTAAATTCGATGTTGGAAGTAACTGACGTCTTTGTCCAGTTGCTCACAACGTTGAAACAGTTACATACGACTTCAAAACTTCGTACTTCGTCGACCACCAGCTTTGAAAATGTTTCTAAGGAACACTATGTACTCCAGCAGATAGTAAAGGATCAACTCATCCGGATAGAGAAAGAGGGCATCACAGTGTCTCTTTCACGAGGGAAAAGAATGGAACGGGAACTACAAAAGCGTCGCGCAGACGTAATCTCGAGAAAATCCAGGCACTGAGGGACACGCCGCGGCGGTCGCCTGCTGTAAAGTGGAGGAAAGGGCTTTGCGGCGAAAGCATGGAGTCGTCTGCGCTAACACCGCTGCACACCCCCACTCCACACACACAAATACAAACCGCCCTCTCCCGAAAGATTGGGATGCGCCCACCGGCACGCAGCCGTGAGCCGTGCCTATTGTTTGAGTGATTGAACATAAAATACTTCAAATAAGATACTTTACAATAATGTTTGCACCCAAATGTTTAACTTAATCATTACAAATTTCATTAATGGCTAATAGTAACAAAATCATGTTTTTTGTGTACATTTTCGTAATTTTGTAGTAAGTAAGTGAGTTGACTTAATAAGATTTGTCAGATTTTTACTAGAAGCAGATAGGTGGTAGAAGTTTTGAGAGGATCATTTCATTGTATCTGGAAATGCTTTTCTCCATTCCGCAGATACTTCCAAAACATGTCTACTTCGGCTCTTTATCATTCTGTTATGATCGCTTAGTCTTGAATTAATTTGCACCTCTTTCGGCTGTGTCTTTTAGAACCCTGACGCTTTTCAGAACACCGACCATAAAAAAAGCCAGATAATAATAGGATACAATATTGTGATATATGATATAAAAATAACTGTTAAGGGCTAATGGGCGATAGATTTTTTACTTTTCTGTATACGTACGTATGCACGTGGTATAGGGTAATGCTGCGGAATATCGATTTCGAGATTTCAACGGAAATACACGTTTTGGGGATCCCTGATACCGAAAAAGTGTTTTTTCAACATATTTTCATTAGTCACATAAGATATATGTGTATATTAATTTTATTCAATTTCTTTTTTAGGATCGGATACAGCATTCCAATGTTTACGGGCTTTGTCATCATGTTCCTGTCCACACTGAGTAAGTAATTGAAAATCAAGCAATATAAATTATCATTGAACTGGAAAATAGAACAAAATCAAAATAGTAATCTATTACTAATTACTAAGATAACCTCCATCAAATTAGTTTTATTTTTATGTAGAACGCCAATTTCATTGACTTGTTTTTCCTAATGCGCTGTCGTCTGAAACCAAATCGAAATCCTAAACGAAACCAGATACGTACGTGCCCATGTTTTGTAAGACAGCGTGTTTCAATAATTGTAAGTGGAATGCAATAGCAGAAACTGTAAAATCTGTAAACGAATTACTTGACAAAATTCTTCAAGTTCTCTGGGACATGCGTGAGAAGAACTCGGTGAGTCAGGACGCAGGTCCCAGGAGTGTCGATCCCATCTCGTTTTTCACTGGCATCGTTTGAATCACCACTTATACGCAGAACTTGAAGAATTTGCAATAAGTACACCAAAAGGAACTTCTCATGAACAAAGCGAAATCAAACAGTGTAAATTGTTGTTTCCGGAATAACAGTTAATTAACATTAAAACAGAGATTAAGGTACTTTTGCGTTTAAAAAATTAACTGCAATTTTGGAGTGTAATTTTGGTGAATTAATAAATAAGAATTCTTTTCTTTATTACCCGAATTTAAAAAAAGTATAAACAACATCAAATACCCCAGCAACTTTATACAAAACTATTACCAGAATTTGTGACTAAACTTTCAATACCTCATGGCGGGAAATGTGAGAATCATGGGGGCTATTAATTATTATTTTTGTTATACAAAAAATATGAAATTCACTTTCATCCTATTTAGTGAGAATAAAATCAAGTCAACTCAGAGCCATTGCTTTTTACCCCTATCGGCCAGGGGCTCAGCGCCGTTGGTATCCCAGGTTCCCAAACGGTCACCCAACCGGGAACCCCTGGCGACTTGAACTCCGTAACTTCCGTGACTTCACGGAGCATTGTTATGAAGTTCGGCTACCGGCACTGGCCTGGGTGGTGGAGCTTTGCAGTCTGCGACTTGAAAGCGTTGTCATGGGTGTCGCGTCCTCCTATGAGAGCGCAGTGGGCCTGATCGCGAGGACGGGGCGGAGATGTTGCAGTATAGATGGCAAAACACATGGATGTTTTTAAAAGATCAGTATTATTAAGCACAAACATCGATATTCTAAAACAGATGTTTTCTTCATAATGATATTTTCGTTTAGAAACACAGAAACAAAAACATATGTTTTCAAAAAAAAAATTATGTAAATAAAATTTGATTGTTTGTGTGAATTGCTTGGAATCAGTATCAATTTACAACTGTTAGTGTGGTCAATCCCCAGAAGGCAAGAAACCGTTTGCTATTCGCATTCTACAGTATTACCTTTTTCGATTATTTTTACGGGGTAATATGGTTACACTGCATTTTGATCCTTAATTACATAGAACATTGATTAGAAAATTAAGATGCCGGTGAAATTAAAGGCAGAATTGCATTAAACATGACGTGCAAACTAATATGGTATTAGAACCAGAACATTTTTACTTCGACATGTTTCATCATATTTAAAACATCGATATTTTAAACAACAATGTCTTTTTATGTTTTTATCGGCATCGAAAACCTTTTATTGATGCGTCGAAATATTGATGTATCACCCCCGTATAATTTCTTGAGCCCTGGAATACTTACCCCCACTCCTTTACTAACATTAGTTGAATTATGAATAAGTGATTGCAACGAACATTGTGGAAAAATTTGATAAGCAGAAATATTTGACCCAGTGCAATAGAAACTATTTTCCATCAAAAAACGAGCTACAGATGAGATATTCGAGTCCCGTCGTCGAAATAACCAACCCCCCACTCCTCTCGCATCTAGCGAAAGGAGGGCTCAAGAAAATAATATCGCGCGGATAATACATAATGATTCGCTGAATTCGCCCTCGCCGTGTTGCTGTCGATGCGTCGAAATATTGATGTATCACCCCCGTATAATTTCTTGAGCCCTGGAATACCTACCCCCACTCCTTTACTAACATTAGTTGAATTATGAATAAGTGATTGCAATGAACATTGTGGAAAAATTTGATAAGCAGAAATATTTGACCCTGTGCAATAGAAACTATTTTCCATCAAAAAACGAGCTACAGATTAGATATTCGAGTCCTGTCGTCGAAATAACCAACCCCCCACTCCTCTCGCATCTAGCGAAATGAGGGCTCAAGAAAATAATATCGCGCGGGTATTACATAATGTTTCGCTGAATTTGCCCTCGCCGTGTTGCAGTCTTCGCGTTCGGGCGCACGTACAGCGTGCTGTTCATGGCTCGCGCGCTGCAAGGCATCGGCAGCTCGTGCTCCAGCGTGTCGGGCATGGGCATGCTGGCCGAGCGCTACCCCGACGACAAGGAGCGCGGCAACGCCATGGGCATCGCCCTGGGCGGGCTCGCCCTCGGCGTGCTCATCGGCCCGCCCTTCGGCGGCGTCATGTACGAGTTCGTCGGCAAGTCCGCGCCCTTCCTCATCCTCTCGGCGCTCGCCCTCGGCGACGGACGTGAGTACCCCCCCCTCTCTCTCTCTCTCCCTCACATGGATACTAAATAAATAAATACATACACACAATACACATACGTACATAGAATACACATGCATAGTTAAAATACACACACACAAACACAAATAAGTAAATACATAAATAAACGATAATCAATTAATACAGAAGGGGGAAATAGAATTTGTACACCTTACGAAACTGGTGAGAAATCTCTCATTAAGAATTCCACAATTAGCACCAACCAGTATGAAAAGAGAAAACTCAATGTATGTTAACATTTGTTATTTATTTCCTTTTCGGTTCTGGCAATGCGAGAAATCAAATAGTCTATACGGCTCACCGTGTCTTATAAATGTTTGGCACACGTGTTTCAAAATAGTGTGGACCTCCGGTCTAAATCGTGCACCCCACGTAATGATGCCACTTCATGTCGAAAAATATACCTCAGGCAGATAGAAAAGGTCTAAATCTCACACTTGAACCGGCTGAATTTAAGACAGGCAGGATTCTCACTTTCTGCAGTTACTCTGATTAGGAGGACGAGGGGTTAGTTTTGGGAGGGCAGATTTTCGTTGCCAGCTACATAGATAGGTCGATTTCAGCCACTGTGACTTCTTGGCTGACCGGGTGACGCCGCGTCGTTGGCTGAGAGGCCGACGTTTCGCCTGTCATATCTCAGGCGTCCTCAGGGTAGTGACCAATTCGTCACCTCTCAGCCAACGACGCGGCGTCACCCGGACAGCCAAGAAGACATGAAGTCGAGCTGCGGAAGCTCACGTGTAGATTTCAGCCACTGTCAGGAGGAGGATTCTAGCGGCCGGCCGCTCTGAACGACTTCTTCGTGCGTAACATACCGGCCACGGACCGCGAGCGATCGTTCCATCTTCAACCTTACCCCTTCCTCCGTTTAAACACTTCACTACACTAATGTCGGGAGACCTGCCGGGAGCTTAGTCCCGCTTAGCCGCCTACCCTTAGCTTGTCCCAGCTGGTGCGGTCCTCCACTGGGAAGGAAACCTCGAGGGGAAACCCCTGCGAGCCGACATGTAGTGCACTATCATCAGCTGTGAAGGATCAACGCCACCTCACGTGATTGATTGTTCGGAATTCCGCGCACATCAACAGCTATGGTCATTATTCCCGTACGTGTAGCGAATGGTTTTTGCTCGACAGGCTGCGGTGATCTTCCCCCGCTGGATGGTGAGATCCGGCGCCGACCTACCGTCGGCTAGCGCGGTTTTCCCCAACCAGGTATCTCCCACCAGCGGGGCACCGCCCCAGCCGAGACAACCTCTAAGCTCCCGACCGGTCTCCTGATATGTGGTAGTGTAGTGCATGTAAGTCTAAGTGCCTGTAAGAAAGGCGTAGGATAGGACAAGGTATGGGAAGGTATGCGATTCGTAGTGCGTTTGTTAGGGTACTGCTCCGTCATTTGGCCGATATTGACGGGAGAAACCACAGAAAACTACCCGTCAGAGCAGCTGACCACTACAATTCTCCTTGAGACAGCGACAGAACGTCACCTAGCACTCTGGATAGAATCGAAAATCCTTCTACCGTAGGAAGTGGAAACCTAGCTCATCCCGGTCAGAGGTATTGCAGTGACATCAGTTGATGCCCTGAGCCACCTCTCCTGATGTTACCTCTCGCCATAAAAAAGAAACTGCTCTTACGGGTCTAATGGCCGTAATAGTGGACTCTCCATAGCACGCGTGTTGTAGTGTTGCAGCTGCTGGTCCTGCAGCCGGGCGTGGTGCGCCAGGAGTCGGACCCGCCCTCACTCAAGGCTCTCGTCATGGACCCGTACATCATCATCGCTGCCGGCGCCATCACCTTCGCCAACATGGGCATCGCCATGCTGGAGCCCTCGCTGCCCATCTGGATGATGGACACGATGCGGGCGGACCGCTGGGAGCAGGGCGTGACCTTCCTGCCCGCCAGCATCTCCTACCTCATCGGCACCAACCTCTTCGGCCCGCTGGGGCACCGCATGGGCAGGCAAGCCAAGCCGCTCCGCGCGGGTTAGGCTTAGACGGGACCAAAAGGACAGCTCGGAAACCAAGTGAACATCATGAACACAGTCAGAGAAGTGTCTCTGTTGCGACAGCCGTTCAGACACCCTTCTTTGTAAAATGCTTGTTCCTTGACGGCTCCCGTGAAGACGTCATTAGTTGTCACGAATCCCGTGGTAAATGCTCGCAGCTCACATTCAAGCCACATACGAGTGAGCCAACTGCAAACGAACAAATAAAGGAAGGAGCCCCAATTGATATTATTGACGAAGCATGGTTAGAACCTTTAGTTATGTTGCCAGCAGAATTGACGCACTGGCTGTCATTTTGGTATCTTCTTCTCTTTGACAAGAGGGATTCAGAATTTATCGACTTATCTGAGATCCGTGAATTATGATCAGAATATCCACAAGCCAGGCACGTGGAATAGTTTTTCAGTAGAAAGTTATGAAAAAAATTAATTAAAAAAACTAAATTAAATTCAATATCGATTCTTACACAATGTACGTGCACAGAACGTGTTAACGCACGACACATGGCGAAATGGTTAAGGCATTTTCCTTCCACCGCTGGGGCCCACGTTCTACCCATGTCAATAGATGTGGAACTTGTGGTAGACGAAGCGAGATCTCGATACATTTTCTTGGGGTTCTCCTGTTTTCTCTCCCTATGATTTCACCATTTCTGTTACATTCATGATACGTTCAGAATTAATGAATAAATTACTGAATTAATAAATTAATTGGATCGTAGCTCATTAATTGGTTCCATAAAAATAGTCCTATGTACTTAAGCATTCTTTTCGACCAGATTTTAAAATATTTCTCAAGTATTAATTTTTTATCATATCTGAAAAATGGACTAATTAACTTATATTAACGTTTTTCAGGTAACAGAGTGCTAATTAATCAATCACAAAACGTTTATGCACATAACTGAGTACTCTTTCTTCTGCATACAGGTGGTTGGCTTCACTTCTAGGCCTAATTATCATCGGTGTCTGTCTCATGTGCGTAAGTATCTTTCTGTCAAATTCCATTAATGTATTATACAAAGAACAAACATGCTAATCAAATTTAAACAACAAGTGTCTGCTTCACGAAAAAAATAGTTAAACAATTATTTAGCCAAATCTTTACATTATTTGTATTCGTATAGTTGTTAAATTCTTTAATCGCACCGTAGTCGGATACAGTCCTTCCAAAGTACTCATAAATATATTTTTTTTAAATCACTAGAAATTTACTGAAAAATTCCTCAAGAGGTTTCTTGTGTGTTTTTTTTTCTTCGTCTGAGAGATTAGCTTGCGGTGCACTGCGTTAACCTCGGGTCCCAAATCGCAAATGAAGAGCTAATATGAAAGTGGCGTACTACTTACCGAACGCAAGTTTTCAGTAAAGTAAATTATTCACATTCAATCTTATAATCCAAGACAGGTTTCAACGGGCTTCGAATTCCATTTAATATACGAAAAATTCAATTTTTTATCACAATATTTTACAGCATGGTCGAGAAATATCTTAAGAATAATATTGATCCGTATCACTAAAAAATACGCGAAAATAGAAACACGTCATTTTGGAAATAACCTCTTCAAATGCACCTTGACTGATCGACGTGCTAACCTACTGCTGTGCCAAAGTCCTAAGCATTGGTGCATTGAGATAGAGATTATACTTCGATTTTTCTATATTGGCCGATGATATTAGGGCATTGTAACACTTCCTGCCTTAGGAAAATGAATGTTTGTAACAGAGGTAAGCACTTTAATGAGGCCTCGAGCCCCGTTGAGAGGAACGTTAGTGAATTAATTTAAAATGTTCATTTTATAAGGCAGGAGGTGTAATGTCCTAATGTCCCCGGCCGCTATAGAAAAATCGAAGTCCAGGTTCCTGCAGGAGATGATTTCGTTCGAGCGTTCAGGACACTGGCGACAAGCGCTGGTCGAGAATTTCGACACTCGCTTCTTGTGGCTCCGCCAGTCTGATCACCTTTTCGAGTTTCAAATAGAAAATTAAAGACGCCTCAAAGTTGAAATGTCTAAATAAAGAGCACAAAGTGTGTGAAAAGTTGAAGTTTACCGTAGACTGACGAGAATTATGAGAATGTTTTGTATTCCTTCTGCAAATTGAGCAAGTGAAAGAATGAATGCAGCTGATAAATACTTTTTTTAACGTGCAAGGTGGATTCGGAAAGAATGAAAGTATTTCTTATTATCCACTGTTATCCACATTAAAAGATCTTTATATCACGTATTAATTAATTACGTGTCCATACACATTTAACTCGCTTATATGTAGTAAATTTAGCTACATTAAATGACCTAGTAGCCTGAAAGGTTCCTTGCCAGTGGTGTAGAGTGACACTCATGAGTGTCAGTCGCCCGGGGCGGAAGACCATTTTGCCACCCCCTTATTTAGGTATTTCAATATAAAAGACTAATATATACATTAATTTTAAAGACATTTTCGGCAAGAATAATTATAATTATTGTGTATTGTATGTATTTTGCAATATAATAATGAATATACATTCAATTAAAGAAGTCGTCACAGAATAAGCAATGAAAGATTCGTGCTAATTTCAATTGATCCAAATGGAATATGCGTCAGAAATATGAAATGAATTGGTTCACATTTTTACAAGATATTATTATTACATAGTGCTGCAGCGTCATGGACTTATGTATATGTGCCTCCCTCACCAGACGAAGCGAAGCTGTTAGAGTTTTCGCTCTTTCCTGTGAACGAGCGAGCGATCGTGGGGCGTTCGAACTTCGGGCGCTCGAGAGTGAAACGCTCGAGACAGCGAACAGAAAGGCCTGCAGCACTCTAATCCAATTAGTGACTATACTGATAATCAAAGAAAAATAATGTTTATTTTAACAAAATAGTGATATATAATTAATTAGTTTACATTTGTATTTTTAAAGACAAAATGCTTGTAACAAATAATGTACTTCAGCTTCAGGGACAATGAACCCATCTCGTTCAGGTTTTTGTTCAGTTTCCCTGATCCATTGAGCAATTGCTTAGATGACCCCTTGTTTTGCCTCTGGACGTAAATGTAGCTTCATTCTGTACACGTTTTGTTGAACTCTCCTTTTGCTTCTAATGGTAGGAGTAGAAGTAAGGGCGAGTTAATATTTTGTTAGAAATGCAGAAAAATAAAATCTGCAGTTCGTTTACCTTTGCAAGTAAATTATTCTACAACTTGGGAACAAAAATGTCTAGATTTTCAAATGTTGCTGATTTCGCGCTTTTTAAATTTTATTTGTATATATTTATTTATGTTTAACTGTTAGTCATCTATCAACTATTTATAGTTAAAATGATGTACTGTAAATCCACTGTATTGTAAAGGGATTCTGAAAGTCAAGAAAACTTGCGCAGATAGTTTTCTCTCCCATACGTCATATACAGTTTTTACTGTTTTTTGACAAAATAAATGTAAATCTAAATCCACTGTATTGTGATAGTCGTGTAACTGCATCTCAAGCCTTTCTGCCCGCAGATCCCATTGGCCAAGAGCATCAACGACCTGATCGTGCCCAACGCCGGCCTGGGCTTCGCCATCGGCATGGTGGACAGCTCCATGATGCCCGAGCTGGGCTACCTCGTCGACATCCGCCACTCGGCCGTCTACGGCAGCGTGTACGCCATCGGGGACGTCGCCTTCTGCCTGGGCTTCGCCATCGGTGAGCCCAAGCCCCCTTCCTCATCACCGCACTGAGAAAAATACCCTTTTGCTGCCAGTAGAATCCTGAATGCTGCTTACATACAGTTAGTGAAAACTTTCCAGACAGGTATTCAGTTTGCTGTAGCAAGGTGGCGTTTATTACATAACTGGAAACAAATTCACTTACTTAATCATAAATTTATCCTATCTAATATTTTCCTTTTTCTATTCAATCATGACCATTACGACTACACAAATTCTGTGAGTTATTGATACATTTTTATCAATGAGTACATACATATTTTTCATTGGGCTTTAAGTTGTTTAACGCGCTAAAGCAGACACCGACGCCGATGCCTTAAGTATAAATGTCTGCTATTTTACACCTTGCAGAACATGTCTGAGCCGTCCCGCCCTTATTCCCATTACGGCCTGCAATCACTTGCCGCAGCAGTTCATCAGGCCCCTAGCATGTTTGGAACCTTCTTATTCTATGATTTGAACCTAGTGGCACTGCAAGGTCACGAGCTGGAAGGAGAGGAGAACATTGCCATCCAATCTGGAGCTCCGACACCAAACATTTAAGTCGTAACGAAGCTCCCCATTGGATGACATTGTTCCCCTCTCAGCTCAGCTCGTGACCTCGCAGTGTGACTGTGTTTAAATCGGAGTAAAAGAGTTGGGGAAGGAAGGTGGCGCACGCGCAGCAGTTCGCAGACCTTTTGACGGCGCATCCTCCACCTGGCTGCTGACGATCGAGCTCTCCCTCCCACTCGTCCGCTTGGGCCGGGGGTAGGAAAGTTAAGGAATGGATATTTGGGAGGTGGAAGTGGAAGCTTAAGAAATGCCCCAATCATGCCACGGCACACAAGACATCATCCATGCCGGAGGTGGGATTTGAACCCGCATCCTTTCGAACCGAATACGACTGCTAAGGTGCGGCCGCCTCAACGATTTCTTCTTCCCAGACGCCCAAACCCCTTCAACAACGTTGCCTTTCATAAGTGAAAAGAACGTTTCGCTTCTGCGTGATAGAAATTAAAGACCCTTCTCCACTTACTGTTGTTAGGCATGGGGCCAATGTGTGAGCAATAAATTGACAAGCTCCCGGGAATCGAAGTTGCTACCAATCAAATGTGCCAAAACGGAGCGCGCTGCAGTAGGCAGGGGCTGCCTCACCCTACATCTTGGCAGAGGGGTGGAAAAGGCATTCAAAATATCTGTCGACTGCGAGTTGCAAAATCCTCGAAATCACTCAAAATATCATTGCGTAACCAGTAGCAAAACGTTACAACATTGGATATTGTTTTACGGGCATCATGATGAGTTCAAAATGTATATGTATATAGTTCGATTAAAATTAAAAGTTGACATCAATATCCCTAAACAATACAGTTAAAAAGTGCACAATGAATGCATTACGTCTGGTATTTGTGTGAACTCCATTCACGTATTTTGAAATATTCAAAAGTGGCAAGAGTGGCTAAAGTTACTTGACTCACCTGTAGATTAAAGACATGCGATAAATGATCATCTTATTATTGAGAAGTTAATGAGAACATTATTTAACTATTTTACGATATTTTTAAACATATCATTCCGATAGCATTATTTTAGAGTTTTGTATAAGTCAAATGATTACTTCAGTAAAAATGAAGTTGATAATTGAATTCTAAAGAAAGAAATAACAGTAAAAATATTTCACATTTTCTTCCATGTGATATCTAGGAAAATAAATTCGTTATAAATCAATATATTCATCGGTGTAATTAATCAAGTAGTCTCCTCCGCATTTTCAAAGCAAAGAAGAGTATCGGTTAAGCGGAAAACATTAATATGCAAGTTTCATAATTAACAGGTCTTAGACAAAAAAAAGCTGAATTGATTTTCTTCAAAATAAGTTCTGTCGTCCGGATGGCCGAAATCGTTAAGGCAGTAGGGCCGTAAAGATCTCGGACTGAAGGGTCACTGGTTAGAGTCCCGCTTCGGGCATGATTGAATTTGTGTTCGTCTTATCACCCCTCACCACCACCCTATCACATCATACCATATCGTTAATCTATAGTAGTTACTAATGACCTACGTGTTGATGCGACCTTAAATTAAAAAAAAAAAGAAATAAGTTCTCGCAGGTCCATCGAGAGTGCCGATTGAGTCGTGTGGTTTGTGTGGCAGGCCCGGCCATGAGCGGCACTCTGGTCAACACCATCGGCTTCGAGTGGATGCTGGTGGGCATCGCCATCCTCAACTTCCTGTACGCGCCGCTCATGTACCTGCTGCGCAACCCCCCCACCAAGGAGGAGAAGCGGGTGAGCGCCCTCCCCCTACCCACGACGCACGGGCACCGTACGGTCTGCAGGCACTCAGCCAGCGCCGGCGCCGGGCCCGGGCAGACCGCGCGATCGCCCGGAGCCATGCAAGTCAAGGATCCCGATAATGGGACTGACGGGAAAAAAAATATTACAAATTGAAGAAGAAATTAGAACTCGAGAAAATCGTTATCGTAATTTTGTAAGTCGCGGTCTGATATTTTATAAAACTTTCAATTAATTTTTTACCTTAACTACCGTGATTATAGTATTTATAAGGTAGGACTCTATGATATCAAATAACGCTAATATTAAAATAGGTTCTACTGAAATTCATATTTATTACGGCATGTATTTAACAAGTAAGTTTATTAAACACTAACTAAACATTCACATCTTTAATTTTGACACTTTTTGGGGGGGGGGGGCTACATTTCAGCATTGTCCGGATACCGAAATTGTCTAGCTCGGCATTGCAATCAACCCTAGCCCGTAATAGAACATTTACAATGTATTACGTAAACAACATTTATTCTTGTATTTGAAGGCTACATTTTTACACTTTTCACCTTTGGCGTGTCGTATTTACGCGCTTCATGAATTGTCAATTAAATTTCTAAAACATAAAATAATGAAAATAAATATACACTACAAGTAAAGTCTGAACAAAACGTGAAAACCAAAGCAGGAGGAAGGAGGCGTAAGGAAATACAAATACCCTAGTTTTCCGACGATGGTGGATACCAGAGGAATTGGATGGAGAATTAAATCAATGTTCATGTCATTTATGTTTTCACAAACTCTAGTAACGAAAATATGGATTTTACCTAACAAAAAAGCATTTACCGACGGAATAACGACGATTCACAGTACCCAACTAAACAATGTGAAAAACAACAAATTACTGACTTCATTTTATCTCTACAAATCTCTTGTTGTTTTTATTTCTCCAATGCTGAAATTCGTAAACTCATTCACATAACCTCTTTATAACTCTCCCACTCTCTCTGCCTGTCTATCTCCACAAACAAACGTAATCTCTACCACAAATATTCAATATGTCACTATTTCTCACACACTATGCCCCTCTCCCATTCACTCTCCCCGTTTCTCACCTCACTCTATCCCTTACTCTTCACTAACTCATTCACTACCTATTCTCACTGCCAACCATAATTTATCCCTCACTTTGCCTCTCTACTTTCCTTCTCTCTCTCTCTCTCTCTCTCTCTCTCTCTCTCTCTCTATATATATATATATATATATATATATATATATATATATATATATATATATATCGGTATCACAATTTATTCCCTCTTTTACTTCTCACTATAATTCACCCTCCCGACCACCTGAGATGGCTCAGTGTCAGCTGCTTCCGCTGCAGCTTCTCTCCCCGGCAGATCCTAGGATTCGAGTCCGGGCAGTGGAAGTTTTTCGACACCAGATAGCTAGCGAGGTCAAATTCATCCACTGTCTGAAAGAGAATTCTAGCGGCTGGCTCAATACTAACCGAATGTGGGGGTTATACCCTAACAAACGGGCCACGGATTGCGCGCGATCCTTTCTTCCCGCTCCTTGTCCGATTCTTTCCCTTACACACATTTACACTTACATGCACTACACTACCACACAGCCGGGAGCCTAGAGCTTGTCCCGGCTGGGGAGATGATCCGCAGGTGGGAGATAGCAGTTTGAGAAACTCTCCGCTAGCCGACGGTAGGTCGGCGCCGGATCTCACCATCCAGCGGGGGAAGATCACCGCCACCTCCCTCGATAATAACACATGCATTGAAATTACGGGTCTAATGACCTTAGCGGGTGACGCGCCCGGAAGCATTAATGAACCAATCAACCAGCTTCACTACACCTACCTGACCATGGCAGTTGACGTGCCTGGAAACACGTAACTCTTCTAATTCCTCCTTGCCCCTCTCCCTCCCCCCTGTCTCTCTCTCCCTCTCTCCCTCTCCCTCTCTCTCTCTCTCTCTCTCTCTCTCTCTCTCTCTCTCTCTCTCTCTCTCTCTCTTGCCCCGCGCCTCGTTTCCCTAAAGCGCGTAAAACGCCGCCCTGGTCGCGCAGCCCTGTGCGGACGCACCGCCGGTGGAGCCCGTCCTGGCCCTGGCCCCCGCCCCCGCCTCCACCCCCGCCGTGGGGCCGGCGCACTGAGCTGCGCTCCGACGGAAGGCGCCTGCCTGCAGCCTCTGGGCCTCGACGGGCGCACGCAGTCTCCGCGGCGACGACGGCTATCAGCCACAGAGCGCGCGCGCGCTCGCCCAGTAAGTCCCTCACTCTTTTGTTTGACCCCGGTTTTATTTTGTTTCACGTTCTTCTTTTTAACTTTCCTACGTTTACACGTTATTGTTTTTTTTGTTTCTGGGGCTGATTGTTTTCTATTCATTGGCAGATCTTCAGATTTTGTCAAGGGGATTCGGACTCGTCAATGTAGTGTGTGTTGTTATTCCTGCGTTAGACGTTATGCACATTATTCTATCTCTAAAGTACCGTGGTAAATGTTTAGAACTGCTGGTCTATTAACAACATTTATTATTCTTATTAATGAAAATATCTCGAACGTCGCGAAAAAGGAGAGAATTCCCGAGTATTTCTGAAGCGTCAGACTCGACCTGGAGTCCGCTCTGAACCAGAGACACATTTCCTCAGTAGTTTGGCGGTGTCTCTAGCCAAGTACAGCTTTTGCCTTGGGCAACTGTACTAGGTAAGAAATTCGAACCATGGACACAGAAAATAAGAAAACACTACTGAAAATACATCTCGAACACAAGCTGATGTAATATACTTTATCGAAGATCAGGAGAGACAGGACTCGGAAAAATAGATGCCTCCCGGCAAAATGCAAACGTTGGAACGGGAAAATATGTGATCTGTCATCACTATACTTATATGCCGACATATGAGGCTAGTCATTAAGCGTGACCAACAGAGAGGAAATAGAGATATTCCTCAAGGAGACCAAGGCTCATTGAGAACACGAGAACAACGAATCGTACACCATCACTAGCAAATAATCCATGCATTGTTCTTGGAAAAGTTGGAGAGAAAAAATGTGGCTACTCGAAGATGTTGCTGTGACAAGAGATCAGAACAGTATTTGCTTCTGTAAACGTATGAAACAACTTGCCATACACCCAAGTCTTTCAAAAGACTGGGAAGTGCAATAGATCGCATACGTGGCGCAGTCTATAGTTTCAGCAAAATATTTTCAGAAGTACCCAGTCATTAGATCTGTTCTCAAGTTAGCTGGTTGCATCCCGGAGTAGATGTTATGTTTATAGTGCGGTTTTTATAACTGCCCCTGAAGGCCCTTCTTCACGGCGGCTTCATGTCATTGTTTTTCGCGTCCTTCTCCGTCGTGCCGCTAGATGTCGCATGGTCGCGACCGTATAGTTCTGCTGGATAGGGTCGTGATCATGCGACATCTAGTGGCATGACCGAAAAAGACGCGAAATACAGAGACATAATGCCATCGTGAGCCTTGAGAGACAAAGTTATAAAAACAGCACTATACGATAATATCTTTACTCATTAATTTAGGAAGTAATTAAAAACCTCTGTATCTCTGTCAATTAACTGAAATTCCCTCTAAAATAAAATTTATCGTCTATCAAATTTGAAAGAAAAATTTTAAAATGAAAGAAAATTTCAACAATACACTATAGTTTATAAATATTATTAAATGTCAGTGAGTCGAGCGAAAGAGTTTTTAACATGTTCCTTGGGATTACTTGTTTGAGAACTTTTTACATGCTCATAGCGAACAGTTTTATGTTTATCACAAAAAAATAATAAATTAAAACTGCATTCGAGACGTAAAAACATAGGTCATTATCGGATATCCGGAATTTCTTCCGCAAAATAAATGTAAGAAGTTCAGCGTCGGTAATCCGTATAGTAAGTAGCTGGTTTACCCAAAATAAATTAATGCATGGGAACCTGTGTCACTCTACGTAGAATGTGAATAAAGTTTTTCCAGTGGATTTGAATGCCGAATTTTCTTTCTTTTTTTTCTCTCTCTCTCTCTCGTTCGCGTGAACTTCTCCGCACTCCTCCCCCTCAAGAACTTTTATTCTTTCTTTCAGAGCGTTCTTTACTTTTATTCACATTAAATATTCTTGCACGGTGGGTGAATTGTGACTAACCTCCACCACTCTTCGCGCCCAAAAAGTTTGAATGGAATTTTCAAGTGCTCTTAAAGCTCTATTGTTCGCAAAGACGTCGCTGGAGCATGTAATGTGCAGCAGCATGTTTCCTCGAAAAACGTAATGCTCTTATAAATGTTCTGTGGGCGATGAATGGCAAAGGAATTTATGGGTCTCGTGTTCTTTTTATGACGAACTCGTGAGGACCATTTCCGCTTTCCTTTACAGAATACTGAAACGCCGCGACTGTATACTCCGGATGGATGTATAGTTCTGCAACAGCGTATGCAAGCCCCATAAGTCAATGGCGGATCCATGGGGGATGGCATGGGAGCGACGCACCCCCAAAGGTCTAGAGGATAACGTTTGTTATCTTTTGTATTTACCCAAATTTATTTAAATATTTACGTCAGAATTATGTAATTAATTAAAAAATAAGAATGTATAGTATCATATACACACTACAAAAATACACAGTATAATAACAAATATGTTTATTATTTAACAAAAATATATGACGCTCCCCCCCCCCACACACACACACACACACAAAATATATTAGCTGGATCCGCCGCTGCTCGCAGTACTGCTGGTGTCCTTATTTGGAGGAAGAAGGTTCAACCCATCACCCAAGGGGAGCAAGAACACGATGAAGACGAGGAGAAGCGTGGCGGTTCTTGCTCCCTTATTTAACCCTGGTCTGCACAAGTGGGCAGTGGGACTCATGGCGTGGGCAGAAGCTTGTTGAGTCAGCCCGACTGGAGTTGAGGGGAGGAGAGGCGCTCGGGCGCGATCGGTTCAGTGTAATAAAAAACGAGCGTCATGCCCGCCACTGCG